GTGTCCACATACCACTCTGCTGAAAATAGCAGGTAGCAGGAGGCAACAGGTTCACAAAATATTCAACAACCAGAGGCAGTGGTTGCTGCCCAGATGTACACTTTCTTTTGTGTTACATACCATAGGACTAATGACCATGAACCCCCCCAAAACTGAGTGTTGCTCTTTAAGGGTTTAATAAATTCCATTTCAGGTGAAGATTCAAGTTATCTGGACAAGCTTGTCTAACCTCATTTTAATGCTTTATTTCCTCCTTATTAAACACAAATAGTGGCCCTTAGCATAAAATATGTGGCTTTTTGATGTAAATTCCCCAGGTATCAGAAGTGAATAGATTATCCATTATCTTGGGTATCTGCTGCTGTAGAAATTAAAATGGTGCCTTGTTGCTAGGTGGCAGAGGAACAGCCTATTTGCTTTGAGTAACTGCCACCCTGGGAAAACGGTGGACACACGACCCCTATACTGATGTCATTTAAACTTCTTTATTTTAATGAAGGGTTTGGTTTTTTGTGTGTGTTTTCCCCCTGCCCCCATGGTAACTCTACACCAGTTTCAAATAACTTACTCCACTGTACAGGCTTAAGTCACATGTTTGATCTTCATTTATGTTGGTATTAAAGCGGATTTCAGTGATGTACAAATGTTGTGCAACCAGGCTCAGAAATAGTTGTGCAAAGCAGAGGGAAATGGAATGATGGAAAGAGCCTACTGGTTTCAATGCCACCTTATCTGGATATGGCACCAGTGGGATGGGAGCTGTAACTATATTTGTAAAATACATGGGTTGATCCAGGATTTTGAAAATGGGGATACAACACAACACATATTTTTCTCCAGTAAAAATCAACTAGGAAGATTTACTAATCTGCTAGGGGCCTAGGGTCTATTACTCAATTTAAGGTTGAAGCAAAAACAAATATAACTTTATATGATATAGCAAATGAATGTATATTCCAATACTCTCTCTCTCTCTCTCTCTCTCTCTCTCTCTCTCTCTCTAGATATAGATAGATATATCTATCTATCTATCTGTCTGTCTGTCTGTCTATCTATCTATATCTAGATAGATAGATCTTAAAAGCCACAACAAACTAGGCAAAAATAATGAAAAATGTTGTTTCTTTAGTCTTATAGTCTTTGGAATTAAATGTACCTTGCCTTTTCCTATTCATAAAACAAAACCTAGCCTTCTTGAGCGTCTTGACTTGCATCCAACACTTCACTGCAAATTATTTTCACACCTGAGTTAATGTTTTTAGCTACAGTTAAAAACTGTCTACAGGGCTGCAAAATAGAAGCCACATTACAAGGAGCAGGTAGCAGACTGCAGAAGGACAGCTAGATTAATGGACCTCAAGACCACTAAAAAGGAGAGAGGGTTGTTAACACCTGTAGAATGAAGAGTTTAGAAGGAATTGGGTAAATTACAATGAGCCATGAAATCAGTTGACTGCCTCACTGCTGTCTGAATTGAAATGTTGCTGCCGCTGTCAGAGAGTTGGTTTTAAACTTTGGGTGGAGCAGGAATCAAAGGGAAAGTGCAGTAGCACCACTGTATCTGCCCTGGATCCACCCCCGGGGAACATGTATGCAGGAGGATCACTGTTCTCTATTGGACAATTCAGAATAGGAGGAAATATATTGCCCATGCAAACAAGATGCTAAAAAGCTGAAGTGTGACATACTTCCCTCAGAATGTGCTGCAGTGTAGGCTTCTGATGACCTTTCCTGCTAAAGTTGCTAGTGTCAAGGGAATCATGCTGTGCAAAACTTACATGGCAGTGGAGGATGATGAAACACACTAGTAATAGCAGCTGATACCATAATAATGGTATCCTGTTCACAGAGAATTATAGAAGTTTTGGAAGCTTGGTGAATATTTTGCACAGTCCTTGCACAGCTATTGCTTTTTGGAGCTATTTGGCTGATGATGGCCAGGGCAGGGAACCAGGGCAGATCCAAGGAAAAGTGCAGAGGTGCAGTCATATTCCGCTTCCACTGTGTAGCAAAGTGAGCTGTCCAGAAAACATGCTAGGGGCTGTCCCTGGCTTTGCCTGACACGCTGTGCAGTCACTGGAGAGGGGATCAAGCCAGGGACAGTGGCACCTGGGGTACAAACCCCTGGCACTGACCATGAGGGAGAGTGGAATG